ATACGAGCAAGAACAAAAAAATACTCTATACAAGGTCTTAGAAATGTGATTCCCAGCTAATTAGAATTTGTTCAGAGTGTACTAGATTTCGTTCGAGAAACGAACTTCTGTTACAAAATTTAGTGTTTTCTTTTTTATTACTTTCTGTTTTACATTATTCTCTTTAGTGTAAATTATACCTAATGTAATGTAAAATGTATAATAACAAAATTGACCCAGTACCAATAACCTTGTAGTTGAGACACAATAAACTAAATAAAAAAAAATCTATTTAATATAAAAAAAGTAGATGTGTGTACCGTTTTGTAGTCGGCAATAAAAATTCTTTGGACTCAAACAAACAAGATGCCAATTAGAAAAATTGAAGGTAAAACTTTGTGGGACAGAACTAGAAGTACAGATATACGATAAAGATACAAAGTGGGAAACATCAAAGACTGGGTAAGAAATAAAAGAGTAGAATGGAACGGTCATATATGAAGAATGACAACAAATGGAGTGGTAAAGACGACGAAAGACGGTTCCGCAATAGGAAGACGATAAGTGAGAAGACCACGAAAACGATGGAACGACAAATTACTGGAGGCTGAAGTGAAAAACAGGTCTATATAAAAATACGAAGTTTATTTGTTATTTGATATAACCTCGTATCAAATGGTTATGGTGAGAAAATGCGTCCGCGTCTATATATAAATTTACCGATTTAATACAATTTATGTATCTTTCAATAATTATTTAAAATAATCTAATTTCTAACCACTCTTTTTCTTATTTGGGGGATTTCCAGGTGTAAAATCTTTAAAAAAATCATATTTTCATTGGATGTTAGATCTGCGTCTATAAAAACTTAAAGATTTCTCTATAGAGTCTAGGAGGAAATAGTATTAGACGATTGTAAATTGGAGAGAATGCCAAAGATCTCATGGACGGAACGACGAAATAATGGAAGTGTGGGCAAAAATTATGATAGTCGATAAAGAAAGCTGAGCAGAAAAATATAAATTGCTACATGTCATAACGAATTGAAAGATTAAAAAAGAGTTTCAAGAAAAAAAAACAATTCGTGTTTAAAAAATGTTAGAGATTGAACAGGCCTCACACACATTCACTACTATTTATTTACTACAGAAGAAATGCAAAAAATGAAAATCAATTTACCGTAACGATGGTTCAATGTTGTACCTATCAAAATTAATGGCATAAATATTGATAATTTGCGGTACGCAGATGACACGGGTTTAATTGCAAATAGTTACGAAGAACTTCAACATCTAATTAATAGGATTACCATAACGTGTGATAATTATGGACTGAAGCTAAGTACCACAATGACAAAGGTGATGGTTGTCAGTAAAACACCAATACAACCAAGAGTGGTAAGAGCTTATGGAGAACAACTGGAGAGAAACAACTGTATCACTTATCTTGGATGTAATCTAAACCAATGCTTAAAACTAGGTAACCGAAAACGGACAGTTAGTATAGTTATAGAAGCAGAAAAATGGCAGAAGTACTTCGAAGAAATATATCAAGAAACAAATAGAGAAGAAGAAACAGGAAATAGAAAGAAATAACGAACACAGAACAAGATAAAGAAGAAGAATTGACCTATACAGAAGTGGAGAAAATATGCAAACTTTAAAACGGCAAAACAGCGCGAGAAGGCGGAATATGCGCAGAACTTATAAAATATGGTTTAGGCACTATACAGACAGATTTATCAACTGATACAGAATATATAGAGTAAAAAAATAATGCCCGAAGAATGAAAGAAGGGAATTATAGGGACAATCCCAAAACAAGGAAACCATAGAATATACAAAAACTACCGAGCAATTAATTTACTGACTGTAACATATAAAGTAATGACTTGTATAATTAGAGACAGACCAACAATATAAACAGAACAAAGTATAGGAGATTACCAGTAAAATCTACAAAACGACCATAAGATCAATAGTAGAATATACCACAAAAACATTTACATTAACAGCAAGAAAAGAAGTGTAACTGAAAGTTTTTGAGAGGAAGATTATCAGAAAAATACTGCGATCGAAGAGGGAAAATGAAGAAGATGTAAGACAATGGATGAATCATGAAATACAAGAATGGATGGGTCAAGAGAACATAGAGCAATAAAAGTACAAAAAATTAGGTGGTATGGACACATAATGAGAATAGAGAAGAGCCGTTAAGAATTATAATAGAATGGATACCACCAGGTAAAAGAATCAGAGGCAGACCTAAACTGGGATAGAGACAACAAGTGGAAGAAGACTTAAGGAGTTCTGAAGCTATTTTCTTGTGGCATTTTAAATTAATTACTATTTAACTGGGAATAAGCCACAATTAAAGATAAAAATACGTTTATTGACGTTTCAATTTCCACTTCGGAAATCGTTCTCAACATACAAACATTTTTCAGTTTGTATTTTGAGAACGATTTCCGAAGTGGAAATTGAAACGTCAATAAACGTATTTTTATCTTTAATTGTGGCTTATTCCAGTTAAATAGTAATTAAAACTTAAGGAGTGTGGAAGTTAGAAATATAGAAATGACAATCAAAGAGAGAGAAGAATGGAGAAAACTAGTGGAAACAGCGAAGAGACACTTTCTTCTTCTTCAGGTGCCATCTCCGCTACGGAGGTTGGCAATCATCATAGCTCTAAACAGTTGTTTTAAGCTGCATCCAAACCATTCTCTCAGGTTTTTAAGCCATGGAATTCGTCTTCTTCCGATGCTTCTTCTACCATCTATCTTTTCTTGCATTATGAACCACAGGATGTCATACTTCTCGCCTCGCATCACATATTCGAGATACTGTAGCTTTCTTTCTTTAATTGTAAGTTCAACTTCCTTCTCTTTACCTATTCTTCTCAGTACTTCATTGTTCGTAACTCTATCTACCCAGGAAACCCTGATAATTCTTCTATAGGTCCACATTTCAAAGGCGTTAAGTATACGTAACATTTTGTTAGGCGTACTTTAAGAGCTAATGTTAAATATTTGCCACATAGGACCTTTTTCATTTTCATAAAATTAGAACGTGCTTTTTTTATTCTGACTGATTTTTGCAGTGTAGTCATTATTTTCTGTTATAAGTGTTCCTAGGTAAGTGTACTTTTTTACTCGTTCGATCTGCTGGGCCTCTACTATCAAGTTTTCCTTAGTATTATGGTTGTTTTTAAAAATGTTCATTAATTCGTCTTTTTAATATTGGGCGAGAGTCCGTACTCCCTACTACACATTACTATTTTACTTATAAGTCTTTCCAGGTCTTGTAAACTATCGGCTATTATTCCGGTATCATCTGCATATCTGATGTTGTTAACTAAGACTCCATTTACTCCTATGCCGACTGTTTCATAATCCAGACTTTCTCGAATTACCTCTTCAGAATAAGCGTTAAATAATAGAGGTGATAGTATGCAGCCTTACCTAACTCCTCCCTTTATTTGTATTTCTTCAGATGTCTCTTTTTCAATTCGTACTATTGCTCGCTGATTGTAATACAGGTTTGTTATTTTTATATCTATTTCATCTAGGTTTTTACTTTTTAGAATTTCCATGAGTCGGTCATGTTTTACTCAAGTCATACCAGAAACTGTAAAACCAAACCCAGAATAGGATGATCCCCACACAAAAAGGATCTTTAAGTGTAAACAGCGTCAGCTTCTTCGGGAGCGAATAGATTTATATATAATCTAAACGAGAACTGGGACATGAGCTAAGAAATTAGAATACGTATAGAAAGAGCAGAGCTGCATTGTTTAAGATAAAGGAATTCTCATGTGGAATAATATTATTTTGAGACTGAAAATTAGATTAGTAATAGGTGAGGTGTTCTCTATTCTTTTAACGTTGGACTTTAATGGATACACTTCTAAGAAAACTTAAGCCTTTAAAATCTGGGTGTATCGAAGAATTCGGCGAATAAGTTGGGTAGATAGAGTTAGTAACGAAATTGTTTTGCAGCGGATGGGAAAATTACGGAAGTAATCGTAAACTGAAATATTTTGGCAATGTTATGCATCACCCAGAGATATAATAATATACTTCATTTAATAATATGTGGCAGACAGACGGATAAAGAAGGACAGGTCGAAGAGGAACGTCATGGGCTAGAAATTTGAGGGAAGGGTTTTAACAGATCCTCTGTATCTCTTTTTTGAGCTGCCGTCAACAAAATTAGGATAGCGAAATTGATAGCCAACGCACGATAATCGTGCAGGGAACAGGAAGAAGAAGAAGACGGTCAATCGAGGGCAATGAAAAAATGACAAAAGAGAATTCATATTTCAAGTTAAAACAAGAAGTAGGTACCTAATACATGAAAAAAAAAGAAGATTTTTGGGAAATGAACTTCACGAATTCTTAGATGTTCCAAGGATCTTTCCAACGGAGGAAAATGATTTGAGATTATTTATCTGAATGTAAGGATGTGTTCTTTTGTGTAAAACCCCATTAATTTCAATTTAGGGAAGTTACCCAAATAGGATTACAAAAAATTTACACAAGAATATTGTTAAACCACAAATTGAAAAGTATTAATTTTATTATAATTGGTAAAATGTCAACATATTTAACTTTTGCCATACATTGTAGATCACCTTGTAATCTATAATATATAGATAATAATAATGCACAATAACATAAAAAATGCACCATACCTTTCACTTAGTATTTGACTATATAAATGAAACGTGGTATAAATTAGTGATTTAAAAATCCTCAACTTTTAACTTTTGCTTTGTTAAAAAATAAACACTTTATTGCATTGTATGTTAAAAGCTTGTCGGAACTATATAATCAAAACAATTAACACACATGTTAATTTTTAGCAACACTTTCGTCATAAAAACAGCCATGTGCAATACCGTAAAGGCTTACTGAGAATATCTATTTTTCAAGGTAAAGTTTACGCGAAATAGACTGTGGTTAACTCGCCAAATATTTGATTCATAAATTATCAGATAGGTACGTAAATAATTAACATTACCCAATGTTCCCATTAGGGACTCCAGATCATAAGGGCCGTCTAGTTTTTTCATATTCCTTCAAAAATTAGGAAATGTCAGTCACGTTTATTCACTAAAAGAACTTTATCGCAAGTTAGCCGGCACTTACCACGAAAATAGGAACCTTTCACACCGTATGAACCCGCAACATTTGAAATTGTGTTTCCAGTTTCGTGAGTTTTGTTAGTAAAGCGACGTTGTCAGATGTATAAATAAAAATTCCGTGCTTGTGAAAAATTCTTTTGAACAATTTTCGTTGATTTTATTATTGATACTGATATTATTTAATTAATAATTATTTAATTATAATTATTAATTATTTAATTAGGTATTAAATTACAAAGTAATGGGAAAATATATGATAGATGAAGTAGAGTTAGGGTGAGATAAGCAGATGAATAGTGTGAAGTTATGTGTAGTGTAACAGAAAAATTCCAATAAAACTAAAACCAAAATCAAAGAATATAGACGCTTAGCTTAAGCGTCTATATTCTTTGCTAAAATTCTGTTAAATTACCTTAACACCAACTATGATGTACTGAATGTACTAAAGATTGGACCAGCGGCGGCTCGTGGCCTAAAAAATTGGTGGCGATGAGGAAAGCTTGCTGGGGCCAAAAAGGAGTTTTGGTACCTACTTCGTGCCCAAATCTCATTAAAAATTTGTTAAAAAAATGTATAGAGTTTAGGGCCCTAATAATTTAAAACACAGTTTTTTAGGGCACTTATACTATATACGATTCGTTCTGTTTGCCTGGGGTATTTTAGTTGTGAACCTTGACATTTCAACCATTGGGTTTTTTTGGCGATTAAAACACTACGCCTGCTAAAACGGGTTGGTGAGTTTCGATTCAGCCGCCCACTCTGGATCAGATGCTGATTGCAGCCGACAACTCTGGATCAGACGCAGATGTTTAAACTACTGGTTGGTCGACCATGTAAAATAACATCCCTTTTATCTTCATTTTGCTAATGCCTAAACGGAGTCTCTAATTGTAGTCATTAATTGGTCATTTCTAAAGTCCTTAATTGGATTCATGTCTGTCTAAAATTATTTTTGACCAAACGAAATACACGAGAACACTTTATATCTGAAATCTGAAACAAACCACAGAGAAATGTATTAATAAAGTGCACTAAATAAATAAACCTAATACTGTGACTAAACTAAACTAATAAATACTATACTATATACTATACTATATAAAAAATATCTATATAGTACTCTAAATTTCAAAATATTATCGCTGAGAGAAATTTCCGAAAAATAGTAATACCAAATACACATCCAACAGTCGGTGAAGACGGATAATATATTTTTTTGCGGAACTCCACTCGCCAGTTTTCTCAGCTATCACTAAGGATAGGCTGACGTCACGTTGCCATGGCAACCGTGAACGCTTATGCAGATGGATTTCGCATTTCAAAAATGATATTCACCTATTCTTGAATCCTACACGGCTAGTCACACAGGTCAGGACTTCACCGTCAAGTACCTACCGCTAATAAAACTATTGTAGTTGTCCTTTTTAATTTTTAGATTAATTAACAGAAAATAAATAATTTATTACAGAATTTAGATACATATAATAATGTTGCTGTTATTTTTTATTTATTTGTCTCAATTTAATTATATTTTTTTGGTGAACCTCACCTTCACCTACTTCACTTGGCCGACCGCCGCTGGATTGGACAATTAAAAAGAAACAAGGTATTGAACCACTTTCTCAGGTATTGAAGCCAAGATAGTCTTCTTCTCCCTGGTCCTTTTTCCAAATACCTGGCCCTGAAGAATGGGTTGCAACAAGTCATATCTCTGTTTATTTCTCATAATATGGCCAATATACTCTAATTTGTGATCTTTAATTGTGTTAATAATCTTGTTTTCTATTCTTTCTCTATTCTCATTCTATGAAAGACCTCAAGATTAGTCACAGGATCCACCAATGCAATTCTTAAGATGCTTCTGTATTACCACCACTCGAAAAACTCAAGCTTTCCTAAAGAAGCTTTAGAGTGTGCAACCTCTACTCCGTATACTAGCATCTGATAATAAAGAATTTGGTGCTAAGTGGTATGATGTACTTTATTTTTTTTTTTTTCATAGTCAGATCCTGTCCATATTCCTAACTTATATGTAATATCCGCAAAATTATTGTTTGTACCATTCAAGCTATTTGCAAAAACGTCTGCGTCGTCGGCACAAGTTATGTGGTCTATACGCATTCCGTTGACTAATACGCCTTTCTGTAGATCTCCCAGTGCTTGCTCGAAGATGTGTTCAGACTATATGTTAAATACTACCAGCTACAGAACGCATCCTGGTCCCACTCCTTTATCTATGGAGATTGCTTCTGTCAACTGGTCACCCACTTTAATGTTGGCAGTTTGGTTGTATATAGATTATATATAAATATATATTATATTCAAGATGGTTATGAGCTTATTATAATTTACTTAAGTACCATTTTGTAGTCGATAAAACAATATTATACGTACAGTTGACATATATATTTATTCTGTATAAGCACTTGTACAGCATATATAGCATCTCGGGTGACTAAGGTACATCTCGGAATCCAAATTGTATACATGATACTCGTTCTTCGCTTTTTTTATTATATTCACTGTATTACTTTTAAAAACGTTCTAACTCATTAGCCTAATAATTCTGTGTATTCTTGGCATGTTTTTGCATTCAATTTTTTTGTTGCAGTTACGACGGTCGAGTTTACCAGCTTTACCAGACATCGGAATTCCATAAAAACTATCAAAAGCACTCTAGAATGACAAAGTATCATTGAAATCAGTAAAACTATACATTAAATACGATGAAAGGATTATTGTAACGTAGCACTACATTTCCTATTTTATTCAAAATATTCCTAAAGAATTTTCTAAAACGATAAAAAAATGTAAAGTACAACACGATTGCTCGTATAGCGTTAGTATCGCCGACAACCAAACACCAGATGATAACGAGCAATTTTCTGATTAACAAATAAACCTAAATAAAACTCAATACACAACAAGAGAAAGCAACAATATGAGACAATTGGAAATTGACGGAGAAAGAAAAATAAAACAAATAAAAAGGATCGGATATTTTGAAGCATGTAGAATGGATAATATTAATATAATAATTTATTTGTATATATCTGTATTCTATCACTTATTCTTATGGCTGTTTTATCGGTGCACCAAAATTTTTTCTCTGTTATTTACCGACAAAATGTCTCGAAATTTGGACATGTTATTCAAAACTATGTTGCCTTTAAAATGATGGTTATACTTTTTTTATTTTTTTGAATTTTCTGTTGAAAAATTGGATTATACTGTTTACTGTTCTATTATAACCAAACTTTTCACGCCCATCAGTTGAAAGAGTTTTTCTTCTGTAATCGTTGATTCTTTTTTCACCTTTCTGTGTCCAGTAATAATCGAGAAAAGCGTATTCAAACTTTGAAGAAAATTGCTAAAAAATACTGAAATCTAATAGTGAAACGTGTTCCTCATCATTGTCGCTTAGCTTGATCGTTATCGCATTAGTGACGTCAAATCTCATGAACGTACGGTATTGTCAGTTAGTTCGCTTGAATCAGAATCCATTTTAGTTCTTTCATTCTTGTATTTTCTTTATCAACTTGCTTAGTTTTTAGAGTTTACAGTATTCTTATTTATTTTGAAAACATTGAAATTATTTAGTTTACGGGTATGTTTGAGTAATATATTATTAGTTTAGTGGTATAAGTTAAAAGTTCTTTAGTTTACGCGTATTTTTAAGTATTACATTAGGTTAGTGATATAAGTTATAAGAGACAAGATAAAAAATGAGTCCCAGTAAACGTCCTAGGTCAAGGAAAATGAGAGCAATTGCACTACAGTAAGTATTTATTATTTATATATTTACAACCGTTTTTAAAAGCTTTATATATATATATATATATATATATATATATATATATATATATATATATATATATATATATATAGCATTGATTACATTCTTCACAAACACCCGTTGTTTGTTTTATTTTAAAAATATTATAATAGTTTATCTTCAGTAAGTTCGTATCTTTTTCCTAGAATAATTTTGTTTCTTTCTCATATTTTTAGGAACTTAAAAATCAAAAAAGCTACTATAAACAAAAGTTCTTCATCAAATAGTTCATTCCATCAAGAATTAGCAGAAACATCTACTTTACCTAGTTGTAGTGTTGATTCGTAAGTAACCCTTTTTACTTTTTTTTTATTTACTTACCGTAAAGTAGTTAAATAGAGGGTTCATGACCTTATATATTATTTGTTTATGGTCAAAATATTACCAATGTTTTACTCTTAAATAATAATAATAACAAATAATATCATTTGCAGAAAATACTATCGTTATTTCTAGTAATAGCTGTCATTCTCAGTCAGTTAAGATTGCCTCTCCGCAAAAACCATCTTTTTCGGTAGAAGGCAGAAGAATAGTGGACATAAACTTTTTCAATAAATCTATTCAAGGTTTAAATAATCATTCTCCATTTTCATGCAACTTTTCTGATATGGAGATTATCAAAGAAAAAATGGACAGATTGATAAGTACGACTTTTAAATGTCAAATGTGCAATATTGGAAAGGAGATAGCAACATAGGATTCTGGTAACAATTCACTGAACTTGAATGGTTCTGGTTATTCAGACATACAGCAGCAGCACGCTGCATTAAATATACCTGTGATGTCCTACAGGCAGTATGCAAAACATACGGAGACAGTTGCAGATGTCATCGGCCAAATACTTTGTGATTCCATAGAAGAGGCTGGACTGAAGGAATTAGCTTTAGCCTAAGAAATTGGTGAGGTAGATTCCGACGAAAATGGGTTAATAACCGTTATAGCTGATGGTACTTGGTTAAAAAGATCGTATAAAGTAAACTACGGTGCTTCTTCAGGTGTAGTACCTGACGTTGTAAAATTTATTAAATTAGTACGCCTTTGATGGATAGGACATGTAATTAGGCGAGATGAAGATGAAACGATCAGAAAAATT